TTGGCTAGTTAGGTATATAACTTGAGAAGCACTCTGGGATCCTGTAGGACAAAGGCTATATTATTATCTATAAAAATCTACACAAAAATATCTTTGAAAAACCATGCAGACAGGAAAATTAATCACTAACAAATTCAAGACAGGCCAGAATGGAAGTTGCCTGTACAACACTAACCAGAGCCTCTTTGTATATTTTTACCCAGATTTACCTAGTATCACAGAGAAAGTTTGCCAGGGCCAAGAATCTTGGGTTCTGGTCTCATGCCTTAAACATGGAAACATCCATATACCTTTCATCAGCCTTTCCCTCGTTTCATTATCCATCCAAGGCATGAAGGGAAACTGGGACTTTGTAGAACAAAGGCATATGCTGGAGATTTGCAAGGCCCAGCTGGGCAAAGTCTTAAGCAATCCAATCCGAGTTGAAGTTTTCACTAGAGACCTCCCAAAGTCCCTTCCAACCTGTGCAACTCTCTGATTCTCTGTGAATAAACTGATACAGCTTTAGGTTACCATACTTAATGCTATACTTATCCTTTGGTAAATGGTTTATGAGCAATTGACTTCATCATCATACTAATATATCATGATAGAAAGACAGAGAAGCTTTATGGTATACTGTATGTAAATGATAATTCATTCTGATTGCAACCATTAAGCACAGGCCCCAGTACCAAATCTGAAACCACCAATCTGAATACATTCCGTCACCAGCCTACCACTGTTTTGACACCATCAGACACCACACATGTACATACCAGCATATTTCTGATAAAATCTTTATATTTATCATTCAACAGTCCAGTTAGAGGATTACCATAAGTTTTGAATGATGTTGAACTGGTATGATGAAAGCACGTTTCAATAGCAGGAAATTGAAAGAGGGTGGTCAAGGCAAACTAGATCACATCTGTAGACTCATAGAATGCTTTGGGTTGGAAGGGACCTTTAGAGCTCATCTAGTCCTACCTGCCCTGCATGTCTTCAACTAGATCAGAATGTTCAGAGCCCCAACTGACCTGATCTTGAATCTGTCTTTTATCTCCAGTTCAAGCAACCTGATAACCAGTCATGGCTGAGCTAAGTAAGTGTTAGGGCAAGTTTGCTAGGAGGCTTGAAATTCTGTTTTCAGATTGACAGTAAGATATTACAACAGCCTTTCTTCCATTTTTCTATTCTAGCTGTCCTCTATCCAGGCAACAGCTTCATCCTTAACCATACATAAACCACACAAAACCCTTAGCAAACTGCGTGGTTCCCAGGGTATTACCTGCCAGCTATCTGATTTTATCCTTTTGTGAAATACAAAACTTCCTTTGACCCTCAATGCCTGTGTGACTCACTTTTATCAACATGGACCATCTTCTGCAGAAATCTTCCTTAATTTCTCTCTAATATTTCTGGCTTCCAGACCCATGAGGATTTGTGAGTGCAGGGGATTTCAAACTTGCTTTAACCTGTGTGTTGGAAACCTTTTCTTTCACCTACTCTTGCACAAGAAGAAACGTATTACTGTTTCACTACCAAATGAGAACATCTCTGCAGTGGGGATGGGCCAACACCTGCCCTTGCCTTTACCTTCCTTAAAGTATTTTTTCCCTGTGAGTTTGCCATGCCTTTGGATATGTGATTGTGTTTACAACCAGCCAGTCAGTCCTATAATACCAGGTAGGTACCTACATGAGTATAGGTTTGCAAAATCAAATGGACAGTACAGATAACAATGTAACAGAAATTCTTTCTGGCTAGTGCTATCATTCCC